ACACTTAGTTTCAATATAATCTATAGCATATTGTACCTACAAGACTTTCAAGTGCTGATACATTTAGATCATTAACCTATATTAATAATCTACTATGGGATTATCCAATGTATGAGATAGTTCAATGAATTTGTTCTTACAGTTTGGTCAGAAGTTCGTCACGAGATAAGCACTCATTAAGGGCTCATCCTGCATAAAAATAGTTACTTCGTACCTCAGAAATTGTAATTAAAATTTTATATGGGATCATACAAGGTTATGGACCACCCAGGCAAAGATGTGGGATATGTGATAAGGATCTGGACAGACCACACATTTTGCAGCAATTAGCCGAGACATACAATAGTAACTGTTTCAGCTAATAGCTGGAAACATAGGGTATCCCAAAGTGTAGGGCTGATGTTTCATTAGCATGATAAACTTCCACAAAGAGCTTATGGCCTTATCTGTGCTTCACCATATAACAAATCAGCTCCTTCACTGTCATTTTCAGTAAACACTTTTCAAGAACCTCGTGACTGTTCAGAAACTTGATGCAGTCTTCGAGTTTGAAGTGGTTATATGTGAGGGCACAGCCATCAATGGCTTTGCTTCTGCTGCTTTTTTGTTTCAGGTAGCAGTGTATGTGGCACCTTTGACCCATGATAGCAGCTGGCCAGACAGTGAACCAGTTATTACTGTGCATAAGTTAAGTTTTTCCTGAGGATCTTGTCCTTTGTTTTACAAAGCAAATAACTCACATTCCTGCAAGCCCAATCTTTGTGATTTTGAATCATCCTCTTCAGGGATGATACCAAGTGTATCAATGGCAAGCTTCCCACTATAGGTTTTTTCTAGTGGGTCATTGAATGAGGCTAGGAGTTCATTTGTGTGAGCATGGCTGACTGCGACACTTGTGACTTCATGGTGGTGCACGAACAGTGCTGTGATCAAATTGAGGCTATGAAGGAGGCACAACTCACCTCTCGAGTAATCAATGACCCTGAGGCCAAGTTCTTTCAGATCAAATTCTCAATCTAGGTCTGTTTTTTGTTCAAGTACCCCCAGCAGGAGAGTGAGTGTTTGGAACTCCTCAATCAACTCACTGGCACTAGCATTTTTCAGAGCCTCTGCATCAGATGTGAATTCCAAAGCAAGAGGATCCTTCTGATGGTGTTGCTTGTTAGGAGGTGTCGATCCTTATTGCAGTAATGTCAATATTGTGCTAGGATCATCATCAGCGCACTCACACGTGAGGTACACAAATCAAGAATGATGAACTAACAGCAGTCGAAAAGCAGCATATAGAGCTAAGTCGCCTCTGTTTGTCCATGCTGCCCCACATCTGAGAACCATTTGAGCAGGAGGAATTTCACCATTGGTGGGTGAACTGAGTAGCAGCTGATGATCAGGTGCAATGTCATTTTTGCACTATAAGAGAATTAAATGGATAGATCATTGTTTCTTATCAGTCAATTCATGTCGTTGAGGGCTGAGAGTTTTGCGACATGTTGCTGTATGTTGGTAGCACGACCATTGATGATGATGATATGCCATGTCGGACAAAACTCGCCAATCTCATCATGCAATGCTATAAAAGAGAGCTGAAGAATCCACATACAGTGAAGACAATGAAGATGGAGCTGAGAAAAAAGAAGATGGGGTTAAAGGCAATGGCAATTACAACTGTCCATCTGGATCTGAGGACAATGATTACTCGTTCTCAGATACTGAAACTTCTCAGACACCAGGTCAGTGAGAGATATGTTTGCAGCAATGTCTCAGAGGCTGCCTCAGGCAAGGCAGCTGGACACAGTTGTGGCTTATATATCAGCAACTTTCACCAGAAAAAGGGCTAAGAAAGTGGTGAGAGCTACTTCTCGATGAGTCAAGTAACTTGAGCCCAGATTTTGTGATTCATCCAGGGGATACATTCTAGATAACTGTTCCTGCAACCACATTAATCCTGTGGCTGATTGGAATGACAGCAAGAGTTTCTGCATGGCCATGGTATATCTTTGACTCAAATTCATCCCTGAGGTCAGATTCCTGATATGCTGTAAGGCTGTGATTTTCTTTGCTCTTCTTCGGGCTTATTTATTGTGTTGTCATGGTAACCCTCATCGGTGTTGGCACTGGGGGGAAGGACTATAATGCTCGGCTGAAGAAAGTCCTCGATCATATCTCTGCGACCTTCGGCATTCTTTAGAAGCAGAATGAGGCTGATATTTACAACATTATCCTGAGTAAACTCTCATACAGCCCACATTCTTTAGCACCACCAATTGAGTGCTACTTCTGCACCCAATGTCATGCTTGGTACTAGTGCGAGAATGAGTTTTCAAAACACTATGCCTGTATATGTCCTTTGATGGCAAAATTTCAGGGTTGGCCCCTTCATCAGATGGTTACTCTCCACAAAGGTAGTGGTCCTTCTGGCTCCATTGAAGGCAACACCAGTTATTTTCTTCACTTGCCTCTTTGTGAGGGTTGGTCTCCTGAAGGTCACACAGAGGAAGAGGTCAGGGTGATATCATTGTCAGTTATAAAGGATAATCTTTAGTGCTTATAAGTTACAATAAAGGCTGAAATCCAGGTTTAATAAGCAGATCATATATAAGAATAATCTACTGCTCTCAAACATGAGGATTATCCTAAGCTAATCTGAAGGTAATCTAAAGGGATAATTCAAAGCCTAAGGATAATGCTAAGGATCATCCAAAGGATTATCCAAAGCCAAAACTAATTTAACAATTTGCACTCAGCCAGAATTGAACTCTCAACCTCAGATAAAAGTCACATGACTAAAAAACTTCACACACTTTAACCACTACACTATATCAGCTTAACAATTTTTACTCATATATAATATACATAGTAGATTTTGCTGAAAGGACTTATACAAATTCTGCTCATCACAAAAGTGGTGACTGAGTTAGACATAAGACAAAGGATGTTTCTAGTACTAGAGTATTTACAGGTTGTTCTATGATGTCAGAGGTACATAAGATATCCCACTATTCACTTTAGAGTACTCTTTATCTCTAGCTCTTAGCAACAAAATCTTCTATAGTGTGTCATTGCTAAGTGCCTCTTAAGTGCCAGTATGATCATAGTAGTACCAATACATGTCTCAGGGCATTGAAAGATTGCTCAGGGCATAGATAGAATGTAAGCTAGTGTGAGCCGGTTGTCTTCCGGCAAGCACTCAGAACAAAACAGAAACGAGATGTCTTCGTTGCAATGTACAGAACGGGTCTCATAAGTACATGAGAGCCAAATGAGTGAGTATGGAACATACCTTCATTGCAATGTACAGAACGAGTCTGAGTTGTAACGAAGGGGCGGCGTGGATATGAACCTTCGTCGGGGATAGCCGTGTAACCCTACGTCGGGGTTACACTCCTCCCCGCCGTAAAGAAATGAGCATGGTAGGTAAGAGAAGAAATGGAGTGGGAAGGAAGAAATTAATGAGGGGGGTGGAGTAAGTATTCATCAAGCGCAGCTAAGTCATTTACTTCTCGACGGGGTAACCAAACGTCATGCACTTCAGGGTACCCTTTATCCCTAGCTCTTAGCAACAAGATCTTCTATAGTATGTCATAGCTAAGAGCTTCTTAAGTGTCAGACTAACCATGGTACCTATTATGTCTCAGGACATTCTGTGGCATTGCCCAGGGCATAGATAGGGTAGTGGCTGGGCATATGAGATGATTATTATGTGGGATATCCTACTAGGCTAGGACATTAATTGTTTATCCCAGTATTACTGGTTGTCCCATGGTGTCAGGGGTACATAAGGATGTCCCACTGTTAGCAGAAAATGTATTTTTAAGCTGTTGTATATTTGTTGTTTCATATTTTCATCTACTGCCATACTGTATAAACTTTAATTACATAGTACAATAAATCAGTGCTTTACTGATACTTCAAATGAGATGGGAGATCCACAAATAGTGGGATATCCCATACTAAGTTTTATATTCACCTGCAGTGTTATAATACTAATTACTATTAGTGGTATGTATAACATGTTCATTAGATTAAATAACAACTATAACAGGCCAAACAACAGTTCTTATTCTCGTGTTTCAAAAGTAATTGTATCTTTTCTGATGCAATGTTCAAATTGATGTGATGTCACCTTTAGTATATTGCATCCAACCTGAATATTCTATAACTTTCATTAATAACCAAAAGAAACACAGTAACTCAGTCTACTTATACACTAGCAAATAAGAGACACCTTAGTTAAGTCTGCTACTATAGAATGTACCTGAATAAAGCAAGGAAGACATTTGACCTAAGATTGCAGTAAAGTTGCATTCACAAACACATACCCAATGACTTCTTATACTCTGGGACATTATGCTATAGGATGGGATATCCCATTTAAGAACCTGTTACTCTCCAATCTTAATAATACAATGACTAGTATAGGTCTTTAGGTAATTATAGTAGTCTAACAGATATATTCAGACAAATAATAGCCTGAATAGCTGTCAGCATACAAATAAATCACATTTTAGGATGTCCTTAAAATGGGATGTCCTTAAAATGGGATATCCTTAAAATGGAATGTCCCATTTTTATATAAAGTGCTGATAAAGCACTGATTTACTGTACTATGTAATTACAGTTTATATAGTATGGCAGTAATTGCAAAGATGAAACAACAAATATACAACAGCCAAAAATACATTTTCTGCTAACAGTGGGACATCCTTATGTACCCCTGACACCATGGGACAACCAGTAATACTGGGATAAACAATTAATGTCCTAGCCTAGTAGGATATCCCACATAATAATCATCTCATATGCTCAGCCACTACCCTATCTATGCCCTGGGCAATGCCACAGAATGTCCTGAGACATAATAGGTACCATGGTCAGTCTGACACTTAAGAAGCTCTTAGCTATGACATACTATAGAAGATCTTATTACTAAGAGCTAGGGATAAAGGGTACCCTGAAGTGACATCATGCTCGGGACCGTATCTGCAGAAGCGCACAAGGTATTAGAAGCCATGACCTCGAGGGCAGTGGTCAATGATGGATTCGACTTCCCATTCCTCAGCGCCGTCGGTGGTGATAATAGGGCCTGGCTGGCTGTGTTGGCGTAAAGGGAAAAGATTGGGGTCATTCTTGAGCGAAGGTTTGAGGAGCGAGGTATGGAACGTGGGGAAGATGTTGGTGGACGCGGGGAGATCGAGGGTGTACGCAGAAAATTTGGGGTAGGAGTGAAGGACTTTGTAGGGGCTGTCGTAACGGACCATGAATTTAGCTACATGGTTATCGCTGCGCTCCATGTAGTCACAGCGGCGGTGGAAGGTGGAAAGCATCACCTTATCTCCAACCACATAGGAAACCTCTTCACTGCGTGAGCGGTTAGCCAGTGCCGCCTGGTTAACCTTCACGAGGAAGAGATTGTCCTTAGCTTCCATGATGTCTGTATTGAGGCATGTGAAAAGCTCGGCAGCGCGTGTGGCCTCATCTGAGGTATCGTCCACCAACAACACCTGGGAGAAGGGGGGCACAAGGTATGGAGAGTGGCCAGTTTTTAACTGGAAGGGGGAGAACCCAATCGAGTTATTGACAGTGTTCATGATGCAGAAATGCACACGTGGTAGGGCGCACACTCAGCCACATTGGTTACGAGTGACATGATACTGCAAGGCTTGGATCACCATTTTATTTGACCGTTCGGAGGCACCATCTGTTTGGGGGTGGTATGCAGAGGACATTTTTAACTTGACCCCAGTAAGACGGTGAAGCACTTTCCAAAAGGCGCTGATGAAAAGTTTGTCACGATCGGAGATGATGTCGAGTGGGAGACCATTTTCGCAGTACCAGTGGTCAAAGAATTGTGTTGCAAAGGTCTCTGCGGTGACGTCGGTGCGAGTGGGGATGAGTCGGATGTCAGAGTTTAGACAGTCGGTGACGGTCACAATGCAATTGAAACCATTGTCTTCTGGGAGTGGTCCGATGAAATCGATCATTATGCTGTCGCATCATCCGTCTGGTATTGGTAGAGGATGTAGTGGGCCATGCAGTTTATGGGTTGGCGACTTATTGCGCTGGCAGTCTTTGCACGCCGGAACATACATGCGTTCGAGTTCTGTGCGCATGTTAGGCCAGTAGTAGGCATCGCAAATTGCGGCATACGATTTGTCAAAGCCAAAGTGACCAAGTGAGTCATGCGCAAGGTGGAAGATGGCCTCACACAGCTCTGGTACTCGGGGAATGACAAGTCTGTTGCCAATGTACAGGAGGCCATCCTGTTCACGCACACCGAGGGATCCAGATGTGGAGCGTAATTTTTGACACCACTTGTCTTGGACATATCCCGTGTGCAGCGCCGAGAGCCATGCAGGATCTGCGGTAATCAATAACTGGCTGGCGGTGGAGGCGAAAGCGATAATAGATTCTGGAATGTCACAGAGCGATCGTGTCATGATGTGTATGAGTGAGACAGTGACACATGCAGAAGGGTCGATAATGACGGTGTCGGCAGATATGCGCGAGAGGACGTCCGCAGTGATGTTTTCCTCACCTTTGATATATTTGATGTCAAAGTTGTACTGCGCGAGGAATTCTTGCCAGTGGGCTTGTCTCCTGGAGAGTTCCTTTTGGCGGAAGAAATTCTCCAGAGTACGGTGATCAGTGTAGACGGTAAAGGGAACACCAAGCAAGTCGACATGCCACTTTTTAAGTGCACGCATGATCACAAGAAGTTCTTTCTCATGCACTGGGTAGTTAAGCTCTGCACCTTTGAGGGTGTAGCTCTTGAAGGCTACTGGGCGAGCGGTCTCCAATGTTTCACCGTACGAAAGAAGCGCACCTGTGCGGAAGTTGCTGGCATCGCAAGATACAAAGATTCTATTGTTACCCATGTTATCGTGATCGATGGAGGTGAGAACTTTGCGGCTACAGACAAGCTTCTTAATACTGTCGAAGGCTGCTTGGTGGCTATCCGTCCACATTGGAAAATTGAGTTCAGCATCCTTAGTAGTGAGAGGGTTGAGAACGTGCATGAAGTCAGCAAGTTTGGGGAGGAACGGTGCTATGTAGCAGACGAGCCTGAGGAAAGCCCAAACCTGGGACGTGCTGCGTGGCACAGACCAGTTCAGGATTTTCTCAACATTCTGTGGGTCTGGCTGTATGCCATTCTGTGATATGACGTGACCTAGGAAGGAGAGCTCCATGAGGAAAAGTGAGGTTTTCTTATCGGAGCAGTACATGTGGTGTGCGTGGAGTGTCTCAAGGACTGTGCGCACATTACAAATGTGTTCCTCGAGAGTCTGCGACCAAATGATGATGTCATCAAGGTATACGTGGCAGATCTTACTGATCAATGGGTGGAGTGCGCCAAACATCCATCGCTGGTGGGTAGAGGGCACATTCCGGCAACCTTGTGGCATTACCAGCCATTTGTACAGTCCAAAGGGAGTAGTCACAGCGGTGTATTTTACATCGTCGGGATGAACGCGGGTCTGGAAGAAGGAGTTGGTCATATCGATCTTACCCCAGATCTTACCCTTGGCGCAGTCAGCAAGGATATCACTGATGAGAGGGAGGGGGTGCATGTCTGGGACGATGTTCGCGTTAAGTGCACGATAGTTGTTAACCCAACGGGGAAGGGCTGTAGAATCAGCTTTGGGAATAAGAAAGGCGGGTGAGGCATATAGGCTATCAGAGGGGCGCATTTGGCCTGCGCGAAGGTGTCCATCAAGAAGTTGTTTCCATGCCTCTCGATATTTCTTCGGGCAGTCGTACTGACAGCGCTGGATGAACATATTGGGGTCCTTGAGGACGAAATGATGGTAGACATCTGTAGGAAGCTCGTCGAGGTGTGGAATGTCATCGGGAAAGAGATCACTGAATTCGTTCTTTATTTTGTGATTTTCAGATTTGAGAGTCATCTGAAATGCAAGTTCTTCAGTGCACTTCCGAATTGCATGTACAGCACAGGCAGCCTTATCTACTGTGTGCTCATTACAGTGAGTTCGACGGTCAGCAGTACATTCAGCAAGTTCACGAAAGAGGGATGCAACTGGTAATACTGAAGGTGCAGGCGATGGTGGAGGCGAAACAGTGGGGGGTGCCGGTTTGCAGATGTCATGGCCAGTGGACTTGTCAGTGACGGAATCGCATTCGTGGTCGACGATAAGGCGGTTTGCCTTTAGAAAGGGTTGGCTGACAATTATAGCATAACAACACGATGATACAATGATGGCGCAACAAGTGACCGAGGACCAAGACAAATCTGGAGATGAAACTCGGAGCTTAACCCACTCAACTGAATCCTTAGACTCCGTACCCCACACATCTCCTAGCGGAAAAGGCTGCAGGAGTTTGCTACGATGCAAACTGAGATGTGAGACGAGTTCTGACCTAATCAGAACTGCAGGGGAACCTGAATCAATCAGCATTGGAAGCGGGTCAGAGTTGAGACGCGGGCTGTGCACAATTCCTGACCAGGGAATGTGTGCGACGGTGAAGGGAGCAAGTGGGGGTTGTACGTACTCAGGTTCTGAATCTGAGCCCGTGCCGAGGATGCCAGTGGTGGCAGCCAACGGTGTAGAGTTCACATTGATGGCGCCCACATTATAGGCAACGTTATCGATGGACTCGGAGACAGCAGCAACATTGGCGCGGGGTTTTGCATTTTCTTTACCCTTAGTGCGGTGGGCTGATTTGACGTCTGCCTAAGTGAGCATGTGATAAGATGGCGCATCGGGGAATGAGTCAGTGCAACGGTCACGCCCGTGTTCCTTTTCGGGGATGAAGAATTTGCGACATTTGAAACATCCGTCATTGTCGCGGAGGAGTTTCAATTCTTCATAGGTAAGCGGAGGAAGCTTTGGACCTTTAGGGTGGGAGGCGTTCCCCTCACACCTTTCAGTCATGTTACCTGAACTGAACTCCCATTTACCCTGACATTGTCATTAACTGGACAGCCAGCGGACGTCGGCCCATTGTCACCATGTTGACCTCTACCAGCAGTGGGCCCATATCTTTCATGTGTGGGATACTAGCAGTGGGCCCACCGCTAGTGTTCTTCTCCCAGTGCTTGGCCCACTAGCAGGGCATATTACAGTGTTGTAACCATTAAGCAATGGGCCCACCGCCACAGGTCAGAGGGTGGGCCGACGCCAGAGCATGTTATCGCCATCGATGGGCCCACTGCCAAAGTATGATCAATGAGCAGTGGGCCCATCGCCACGAGTGTAAGATGATGGATAGGCCCATCGCCAAAGGTCAGAGTGTTGGCCATGGCCAGAGCATGTTTGTCTGAGCAATCAGCCCACCGCCAGAGTATGACGAATGAGCAGTGGGCCGATCGCCCAGAGTGTAACCTGAAGGATGGGCCCACCGCCAAAGGTTAGAGGGTTGACGATTGCCAGAGCATGTTATCGCCAGCAGTCAGCCCATCATCAAAGCACCCTCAGTGAGGGCCTTACTGCAAGCACCCATGGGATAGGTCATCGCCAGGACATGTTTCTGCCAGCAATCGGCCCACCGCCAAAGGTCAGAGGGTTGGCCATGGCCAGAGCATGTTTGTCTGAGCAATCGGCCCACCACCAGAGTATGACGAATGAGCAGTGGGCCGATCACCCAGAGTGTAACCTGAAGGATGGGCCCACCGCCAAAGGTTAGAGGGTTGACGATTGCCAGAGCATGTTATCGCCAGCAGTCGGCCCATCGCCAAAGCACCCTCAGTGAGGGCCTTACTGCAAGCACCCATGGGATAGGTCATCGCCAGGACATGTTTCCACCAGCAATCGGCCCACCGCCAAAGGTCAGAGGGTTGGCCAACGCCAGAGCATGTTATCGCCAGCAATCGGCCCACCGCCAAAGGCCAGTGGGTGTTACGTGGCAGCGAAACACGAGCGTCAAGTCGAGTCGTCACGAGACAAGGTCTTAGTCTAAGACACAAGTCCGTTTAAGAGACACTTCTGGCGATGTCTTCGCACTGAAGGTCGATCAGGGTTTGTTCTTATGACTCGCAGTAGCTGTCTGCTACTAACAGTCGATCTCAGTCAAAGGCAAGTGAAAAGCTGGTTTAATGGTAACCAGGTCGAGATGGAGATCCAGCTTGACAAGGTCGTCTATTTATACAAAAGGTATCCGCAGTACTACGCAGTAATGCGGGATCATTCATTGGCTAGATAAGGTGAAACGATATCTGGGCAGGGTAATGGCGAGGAAGTAATATGTATGAGAAAGCTGAGTAAGGTCGTGAGAGATAATCAGTACTAATGGGGATAACGAGTCGTGTATCAGAACGAGGTAAAGATGAGGCATACATGCACGTCTTGCATGCGCGATAAGAAGAAGGTCCGGAGTTGGATCCGGTGTAACTCTAGACTAGGGGTTCTGGGCATCTGGGTAAAGAATCGGAGGTTGCGCTCCGATGAGTCACGTGTTGGATCACGTGGTCTGGTAACGTAAAGGGAACAAGGAAAAGAAAAAGAAAAGATGCGCCACAAGTGAGGAGCATTGTAACAGTGGGTTGATGATTACCAGAATATGTCATCGCCACCAATGGGCCCATTGTCACATACAGCCCTGCAGTTTCTGGGCGCATTGGTGGTGATGACGTGCTCTGGTGATCGCCAATCGTCTGACCTTTGCCGGTGGGCCCATCACTCACCAGCACTCATGGCGGAGGGCCAATTGGTGGCGAAAACATGGCTTGGCGATGGCCAACCCTCTGACCCTTGGCAGTGGGCCCTTTGCTGGCGGACCGATATTCCCATGCAGTGAAGCTTTCACTCAGGTCCTTTGGCGATGGGCCAATTGCTGGCAACAACATGCCTTGGTGATGGCGAGCGCAGTCCGCCCATCTGAAGAGTACACTGGAGGAGCGATGGGCTTTAGAGCTTAGTGATGCAGAAGTGAATGTATCCATTTTGTACTGGTATACAAGCTGTTACATAGCGGTCATATATTGCTAACACCAGAATGCTCAAAGACACTAGTTCAGTTGCTGTGATACGCCTCGCCACGAATGTCCCTCAGAATGTACCCCATTTGGAACACGGTCGAGCTGGCATTGAGGTTCGCAACGTGCATATCCTCAGTGAGGTTGAGCTCACGCTGAAGACGTACAATGCGCTCCCGCAACATGGCGCGATGATGACTAACCGCAAAGCTATCACCTTCGTCATCGTCCACTATGAATAAGGTCAACATCAGACTGAAGGTTGCCAGGGATGTACTCACTGGAACTGTCTGCCTCTGCTGCGATCTGCACAAACGATCTACTGAGGCGGGCCACTTGTGAGCCAGAAGCGGCATTCGTCTCTCCAGGGACTGCCATTGGCAGCAGCTGTGTGGTATCTGGGAATAAGCCTGGAACCTGTTCCCAATGGGTGGGACGATGGATCAGCAGCTCATCTGGAAGTGCTGCCAGACTTGGCATCCTGGAAGTAACAGTGACTGGCTCGATGCTGCCTTTCATATAGTGAATGACCGATGCATCATGGCGAAAATTGCTGTCATCGAAAGTGCGAGCTGGCGAGTGAGAGGGTGCCGATGGCAGAGGTGGTGGACTTAAAACATCGTCCAACAAAGGCCGCCTCTTTGGAGGCGAAGAGCTGGGACTATTTAGCCACCGGACCTGGCTACGCACAGGCGTCGCGCCAGAGCTGTCTATCACCAGAGCTCGCCGTCATCCTGGCGTGGCGGGAGGACTATTGTCAAAGTCCAGCAGTTTCGGCACTGGTTCCGCATCAAGTGTCTCATCCACCAGCATGCCCCTCGCCATCGGCGTACTTGCTTGACTATCGAAGTGGATGGATGTACGTGGCATAGCGTCAAGGGGCTCAGCGATGAGCGATCGTCGAGGGAGTTGAGAGGTGTCAGGAGTGCGAAAGTCGAAAGTGTGAGCTGGTGGAGGAAGGGGAGTAGCTTCCAACAGGGCGCGTCGAGGGATTGGCGAGATGCCAGGAGTGTCAAAGTCGAACATTCCACCGGGCGCAGTGGGGGTGGAATCTGAGATGAGTGCACGCCTATGGATTGGCGAACTGCCACGACTTTCATCCCAAGCTGGTGCCAGAGGGTCAGGAATAAGTGCGCGACTTCCCTCCACAGGTGCCACAGATCCAGATGACGCCTGTACCTTTGGTGAGGCATGGTGGTGGAGATGCTCATGTGGCAAGTTGGATGGCGCAAATGGAGCTGCCAGAGATGGGGTAGTGCGGCGGGGCGCGAGGGGTGTCTGAGAAGCAGAGTGGAGAGGCAAGGAGATCTGGGCAGATCCAGGAGAGTCAAGGAGATCCGAAATGAGTGGACGACAGGGCTCAGCGATACTATCCTCCTCATCCGACTCGCCCATCGTAATGTCCAGTGTGTCAGGAGGTTCCATGTCACTGGCCATGGCAGGTAGATTGTGGCGAGCAGACAAGTCTTCGATCAGTCCTGGATCACGGGAGATCAGTTGTAGAAAGGGGATTGATATGACATAGAAAGGTCAGATAACATCACAAAGGAGTCAGATTCCACAAGGAGAGCAATAGAACTTACTGTTGGGAGCCATGAGAACTTGCGGAAGGTCACACTGACCTTGAGAGACTTGAGAAATCGCGCAAGTCCAGCGATCACGTGCAAAGCATGTGGTCGCGTGGCGTGTGAAGTTGAACTTGGTGCAGATCGCGTCTGCCAGCTCATAGCATCGTCTGCTCCACCTCCGCTGTACTGCAACCTCTGCTTTTGAAACACCCTCACGCTTTCTTCTGCCAAGCTCACCATGCCTCTGGATATTGACCCCAACTATGTTCTGCAGGCCGCGTGACTGACGGTCATTGTTGCAGCGGCGCCTCGCCAGGACGACCCTCGCTATCCGGACTGAGAGACGAGGATTTACCTCGAAGTGGTAAGTCATCGGTCGAAGGTCTGGCATGCACTTACCGAATATGCCACACAGAGTCGGCTTGAAAAGAGTTTCCTGCAGCCCTTGAAGTCATTGAGGATGCCTGGGATCGTCATCAGCGCGTTGCTGGAATTCACCCGGGCATACCAGCAGAAGGCCCTGGCGCAGCTGGACCACATATCGAACGACGACGAGAGGATATACAAGAGGTACCCTCTGACTGTGCGCGAGTATGGGGAGTGTGAGGACCTGGGAAGGCAGTGGTGGACTGAAGGTGAGTCACAAGCGTTGTGAGGCATCGAGCGACACACTGACTGCACCAGATCCATATTGCAAGCTGCCACCAGTGAAGAGTACGCCAGCGGAGGGCTGGGGCAATGTGCCAGCTGATGACGACACCCAGGGACGTGGCAAGGAGGACCTGGCTACTGGGGACCTCGTCACCAAGGGGAAAGGCAAGGAGAGAGCTGACAATGACATCGGGACAGGCATGGTGGGTGAGCGTATCGTCCACGTGGAGGCAGGGGAGGACAAGGGAAAGGGCAAGAGCAAGGAGAAGGTGCAGGGGAAGGTGGCGCATGTGATGAGCGAGAAAGAGGATGGGGGACAGGGAGAGGGAGAGGGAGAGGGAGAGGGAGAGAAGCAGGAGGGCGAGGACGATGATGATGCCGACAGTGACGAGGATGACGATGCCGACAAAGATGATGACGATGAGATGGCGGAAGACATGCTGGGTGCAGGCCAGCCCGAATCCATCGAGGTCGATGCGGCCTCCCCCCCTCTGCCAACTGCCACACCAATATCGATCTCACCAGCTGCCCCATCACTCCGAAAGCGCAAGGTGGTCATCACAGAGTCGAGTGAGAAGAGTGAGAACGAGGAGGCAGCTCCGAAGGCGAAGCAGATGAAGCCAATCGAGGTCGCAAAGGAGAAAGGCGAGGCCCCGACCACCTCTGGTCGAGCGCAGCATGCGCAGAAGAGGATGGTGCAGACCGAGGTGGAGGGCTCGAAGGTGAGCACGAAGAAGAGCGGGAAGAGGAAGGCGAAGGAGTCAAGCAATGAAGAGGAAGTACCAACTGTCAAGCCGCCAAAGAAGAAGCGTGCGACGAAGGAATACAAGAGCAAGGAGTTCATCGAAAGTGAAGATGAGACTCCAGCACCGCCTTCCAATCTACCTGCCAAGACCGCAGGGGACTCTAACGATGGTGTTGCGAAGACGAACACCCCTGCCAAACCTGTCAAACAGACAATGAGGATGACGGTGTCGCCTCATGTCGCACTGAAGGGGAAGGGGAAGGGGAAGGCAAAGGCGACGGTGAAGGGGAAGGCGATGGTGAAGGCGAAGGCGAAGGTGATGGTGTCGCAGAAGGACATGTGGAAAAAGACGTCCACCCGCGTGTCTGACTTCATGTGGGCACATGCAACAGATTCGGTGAGTAACGATCTTGTGAGACATTGACCTGTGCTAATGTTCCTGCAGCTCATCCCTTGCGTTGGCTGCCAGGAGAAAGAGTGGCCATGCAAGCTCAACACCGCCAACTTCGGTCGCTGCCTCGAATGTCCAGCATGAGGCGTCAGTTGCAGCATCGCGCCGAGGAACACGGACGGCGTGTCCCTGCGAGGAAACTCACACACCACACAGCGTGAGTTCCAAGAGATGTGCGCAGCACTGGTGGTAGAGGGCAAGCCACTGCCCACATCGCCACCTCCATACGACATCAAGGTCGACTCCGATGAGCCCGACGGTGCAGAACCCATGGTCATGGGAGCATCGAAGTGCAAGCCGCCGAAGAAGACCAAGACGCGCAATGCTGCGGCATCCAGCTCCAAGGTCAAGGGTGGCGAGGAGGTCGAGGTGACGAAGCAGAAGGCAACCGTCACGCCCGATGAAGCCAACCCTGAAGGTGAGGCCTCGGTGGAGAAATCGTCGAAGTTCAAGCGCGCCACCAAGTCTGCCACCGCCACTGGAGCTGTGGCTCTGTCAAACTCTGGCGAGGTTGCCAACTCTGGCGAGGTCTCCAAGTCTGGTGCGCCTGCCAAGTCTGGTGCGGTTACCAAACCTGACGAAGGTAAGAAGTCAGGACCCAAGCCAAAGCCGGTGAGGAGCCAAAACTCAGGTGTGCAAGATGGTGGCAAGGTCACCAGGACCTCAGTACGTGAGGCGGATGAGGTCCCACCTGCCAAGTCTGTTGCGAAGGAGGGCAGGCAGATGACAAGGGTGGCGATGGGAGGTCGCTCAGGCCCAATGGTGCCCGTGATCACCAGGAAGGTGAAGGCGAGTGCTCCGAAGGCAGCAGCCAAGATGCCTCTGGTGGAAGGCGATGGCATGGAGGAAGCCGCCAGGCTGGCAATGGAGGTGGTGCGGGCTATGGCCTTCCAAACAGGGCCAGCTGCTCCGCCGCAAGCTAGCAGCAGCAAGCGCATGCTGACACCAGTCACCGACGAACCAGAGGATGCGCCAGAGTATCAGGCAGAGGTGGCGGAGGATGAGGTAAGCAGGACATCTTGTCGCAGCTGGAGTCGATGTAACCATGAAACAGCGCGCGTCCTTGGAGCGGCCACACGACGATCGGTGGCATTCGCTGCTGATGCCCCACAAGACGAGTGCAGGAGCTGCCGAGGTGACACAGGAGGTGACGCCCTCCCTGGAGATATCCAAGGCGTCGAAGGGAGCGAAGTCCTCCACATTGGCGAAGGCAGGACATCTCGATAAAGGGTGAAGGTCAGCTAAGAGGGGCACCCCACTGGACCGCAAGGCAGCAAAGAAGGAGGCGGAGGCAAAAAGGGATGTGAAGGTGAACCGCCTCAGAGCAGTGCCTCCGACCAGCAAGGGTAAGTGCGCCCACCACAGCTTCGAATCCATGCAGCGCTGACCAGGGATACAGCACCCCACTTGCGCGACATCCAGCAAGTGTCTACAGGAAGTCCCGCTCCGGTGAATGAAGGTGACACCCCCAGTGGCGAAGAAACCTCGCAGTCATCCAACGATGACTGCGCAAATTGTGCCAAGTTGTGACAGGAGTTCCTGGCGCACAAGGACGGGATGGAAGTCCAATTCCAGGAGAGGATGGCGGACCTCAACACCATCAAGGCAGAGATCACAGCGGCGCTCCAGCGAATCAACCCGCCATCCGCATTTCAAGAAAATGCCCGGAGCATTCGCGAAGAGGTCAAGTTGGCCATGGAGGAGTTTCGCAGGCCGGTCACCATTGAGCTTCAGAAGAGCATGAAGTTGGCGGTGGCGGACCTCATCGCCCAGCGACATTGCCTGCCAGAGCTCAAGGAGAAGGTCAACAGGTTGGAGCAAGGCACGAACCAGATGGTGAGCCGAGCAGACGTCGACAAGCTGCAGGGTGAATTGGCTGACCTCCGTCATTCGATGGAGCTCCAGGCAGCGCAGTCAGACAGCATGGAGAAGGAGCTCAGGTCTTTGGCGGCAGAGGTGATCGCTCAAGCGAGCAAGCTGGAGATGGAATTGGCGCTCGCCAAAGAGGATTCGATGGCGGTGGTGACGTCCGCTTTGGATGAAGCGAAGAAGGTGGGGAAGGAGGTGACGACAGCAAGAGAGGAAACCTCGCTGGTGGCGAAGTCTCTGGACGCATTCCGAGAGAAGGTCGACTCCGCCATGGTCTTCACCGCCTTTCGCCCAGATAGCCACAATGTGTAGTCATTAGAGTATTGATATACATGCTTTTTAACCTAGCATGGAATCTCCATGCACTCGATTCGCCACTGCCACTCCAAGTCAACTGAATGCCTGCTGAAGTTCTTGCCAACTCCCCTCGCCATTGCCACCATCTCCATGACTTTACCTATGTAGATCTATGGGTCACATTATAGAAGGCGAAACAATGTGGAAGCCTACGAGTCTACTTTGAACTGGAGTTATATTGTCAAGGTCTGGTGCCGCCACTGCGGGTCTTGCGACCTGCGCCAACTTGGCCACTCTCTTTCACTTTGGCGGCTGCTTTCCCCAGACGGACCGGCTTCAGCTTGGTTTCTCCCTTGTCCTTGACCTCCGGGGTCTGAGACAGAGCTCGTCTTCACTTTGCGGGAGGCTTGTCACCATCATCCGAGTCCTCGGCCCTCGCATTCTTCTTCCTCGGTGAGGCCACTACCAACTCGTCCCGAGTACCACGTCCACACTTCCGAGGTGGCAGATTGTCTTCGCCAGAGCTGTCTTCGCCATCGGGCTCGGGACGTGCTGGTTAACATTTCCGCTTTGGATCAGGAAGCTTCTTCAAATCTTTAACAGCTCCTAGTGGATGCTGACTGCGGGTATTCTTGGCGGGTGACTCATCCATCGCTTGACGCTGACTGCGAGTGATCCTGCCGGGGATATTACTCTGAAGGGCATCGGTGATCGACCTTCCCTGGAGCGCTTTGGCTTGACCTGACGGACGGTCTTCCGTGGCTGCGGCCTTCCTCGTCTTAGGTATAAATGGAGGCGGTGGCGGTCGTTCAGCACCACTTCCAGGTACGGACAAGTGTGCATCGTCCTCTTCGCCATCATCAGAGGCCCCACCACTGGTCTCCTGGCTCGGCCCTTCGTCTTCTCCACTTGGAATGATTGGTTTGTCAGCCATGGGGGCAGGCTGGTGAGCCTTGTGAACTTTGGCAGCAGTAGCAGTGCCATCGTGAGTTCTTGCAGAGGCATCACCTTCCTGCTCCTCCTGGCCCCCAAGGCCATCGCCACCTTGTGGGGCACCGCGTATGGCAGGCTTGCTCACTGGCTTCACCATGGCATGGGTGACATTCCCTTCCACCATGTCCAAGGTAATGATCTCGCAACAGCGAAGCAGCTGCTCTACTGCGTCAAATGAGATCGCCGAGTTCACCACATAGTCGGGAAGGTTGGTCGGTTCGCCCTCCTCAATGAACTGAGATCGTGTGAGGTCCCTCAGTGCCATACCAATCACGAGTGCAGATTGTTGTACGCCCTGTGGATGTAAGAACCGATATTTTGTCAGCCATAGTTTGTCGCCCAACCAGTTCTCGACAATGTCAAAGTTGTCCACCGCATGAAATGACAGCGGGAGGTAGCGCTGGCCATATGACCATTCGCTCCAGGGAATCGGATCATACCTGGCAAAATGATACACCTGGGGCTATATGACGGATGATCAATGGTGGCTATGAATCCCCATGAAAGGAGCTCACCACAGTCGCAATCTTGACTTGCTTCAGCATATCCTGGTATCGCGGTTCGATGGAAAGGGTGGCAAGAAACACGTCTCTCCTTTTGACGAGGTGGGGCACAGTACTCCCCACAGTACTCCCGCCAGTGAGACGTGGGGCTCGGCCTTGAAGCTCAAGCCTGAGCTCCTTTGTACTGGGCTCCAGTTCACTCGATGCTTCATTGGTCTCCTCTGTGTCAAATCTGTGCAGTTCGCCCAGAGGAAGGTCTTGGAGACCTCGCTTTGCCTTCGTCTTGGCACCGCCGCTACCACTCGCTTGAGGTGCACTGCCATTGTTAGCCTTACGTCCATTGGTGGTGGCGACTGCCTTGCCCTTCACTTTATTCGCAATCATGCTCTCGCCATCCCCTGAATCTTCATCACTGGCCGTATCTTCTTCGGAAGCCATGCTGGGTATATCTGGCGAACTCCGATCAGAGTCTTGGCTGCTTCTGGCATCGTCTTCCGAGTCGTATGCATCTTTCGTCTTGCATTTACGCCCACCGCCTTTGGCTCCGCCAGGGGCCACTTTGCCCTTTGTCGCCTTCGATGCCGCCTTTCCCGTGACCTTGCGCACAGGTTTACCCTTCTTCTTCGCCTTCCCTGCCTTTTTCGGTGTGAGTGCTTCTTGGACCTCATGTTCAGATCCTTCTTCTAATGCCTGTGCTGATCCGTCAAGTGGTGGAAGAGGATCATACTTGGCGGGAGCAGCTTCGCCATCCTTGTCGAAGTACTGGGTGAATCGCATGGTCTGCTCAGGTCCATGTTCCTCTTGGCGTGCCCGCCAGTGGTCGAGGAGGGCACGAACGGGAACACTTGTCATCTTTGAGGGATCGATCCACTGGAAGTTCTCAGGTAGCATCTCCGCTGGAATAACCTCATTGATGTCGTCTATGCTGTTCAGCTTCGTCCATGATGACTTGCAGTTCCGAACACCCTTTGCCAATGCTGTAAACTGGTCAGCATCTCTCAACACCGAGTGGGAGTGTCATACCGTAGTAATGATTCATGAAGTCTCGAACTTGTACCTTCATCACCTTGAGAGGCGCTTCCGCCATACCTTCGGGCACCGAGGGGAGCAGAGGAAAACCGTTGGCCGTCAACCAAATCTTGTCCATGGCCCGCATGCAATCAGCAGGTGTCTTCTTCACTGTCACCGTAGTCTCAGTCACACCTAAGGAATCAGGTCAGTGTGCCAGCGACAATGCAACTGAGGTCTTCTTACCGTATTCGCCTTTGGCCCACTCAGAGAACACCTTTGCTAGAGGCTGGTAAGCACGCAGCCACCCAGGATAGGCCCCGAATGGAGTTCCATTGGTGATGGCGTGGTTGACCTCCACCCTTCACTCGGGGGTTAGCAGATGGTGACAGTCGGACGGTCTACGCTCACATCTCTACCTTCAGACTCCCCGCTTCCTTTGGATATGCTAGCATGAATGCCATGCGAATGCCCATGGTGTCCCACATAGTCTTGGCAAACTTCTTCAGATATTGCATCATTCGCTGCTCCCTCAGCCTGTCTTAGGTCAGGATTTGCCTTATGCTACGTGACAGGAGGTACGCACTTCATTTTCATCTTATCATCCAGAGTGCCATTGCGCCAACTTTCCGCCTTTTCCTCATACACCTTCTGCTCCTCCTCAGACAGTTTTGCCCATTCAGCACTCCATGCGACTCTTCACACCTTGGAGACATTGCAACCCTTTTCTGCCACGAGTGCTCATGTGGCCTCAGTCACCTTGTCCCTCTCTAGCGCATCCCACACCTTGAAGGCATTGGGCTTGCCAGAAACATGCATACGCTTTTTTGTCGCTTTCTCCTGCACATGGCGGGCGTGGTTATTGAGCCACTCTTGGATTTTCTGCGGTGAGAGTTAGTGGGGACCTCACAGACATGAAACACTGCTCACAGTTTCCACAATGATGTCGTCATAATTTGATGCATTGACAAACTGTGTCTTCAGCTTCTGGTGCAAGCTCTGAACCAGAGTCTTGCGTCCCTTGGCATCTGCCGTGTCATAAGACCGCAGCTTCTCAGAGAGTATGGGCTGATGCTCCGTCAAAATTACAAATCTCGCCGGCATGCTTTCTCGATGTCGAGGATGAGATTTTTGTGTTGGGGCAGTGAAGGGGGTCGATAGTTCAATGGGCAGCGCTCTGTCCATTTCCTCGTTGGCCACCCACAACTCAACATGCACGTGCTGATGGCCCATTTGGGCTTACACCAATTACCCTCCTCGCCATGGTGTGTGGTAACTGCTGAAGCATTGTATGTGTATTTTTCGCAGTGGCGGGAGGTGGTAGTAGGTATGCACTAGCATTCATGCCTGGTGAAAGGCAATGTTGAATGCCGCTTCTATGGCAGAGCACACCACGCCAACTTCATCTCGCGAATGCTGGGCAGAGGCAATGTGGCGATCATCTGCATGCCAATCTGTGGGATAAAGGGCTTCCTCGGAGTTAGGCTCGGCCAATTAGATGGTGGTGACGAAGGGCCCAGACATGGCGGACCACCCGGCCCGTGATCTGGCATGGTGGCATCAAGTCCGGCTCGGCGGCATGATGAACATGTGAGATGTGCAAGGGACGTGCTTGCAAGCAATATGCAGGCAGATGAATGCATACTGTTCTTTGCCATTCTGGCCCCTCCTACATTCTCCCCTGCCTCTGCAAGCCAACCGTCTGAGCCCGCCATACACCTGTGCGTTCCTTCAACCGATGCATGCTGTAATCATCCCATTGATTGGCAGACAGTATCAAGATGAGCAATCTGTCACCCATGCCACTGACCGATCAGATAGCAGGAGTCTTGGAGCTCATGTTCCGCTGAAAGCTCCATCTGGCCACTCATGCAGCCCATTCTGTGCCATCTATAGAAGTGCCTCTGTCCATGCCATCCGCCCTCCTATTGGAGTGCAATGGCATTGCAGATGCTCTTGTGAAGGCCATCCGTAATCCTGGTAGTCATTAGTCTTGCCGCAGGTCTGATCACACTGATCACACCATTGTAATAGTAAGGCTGCAGTGGGACATTGATAGATATTGCGACAGCCTTTCGATTCAGCCCACAGGGCAGAATGAAGTCCTCGAGGCAGAACTGGAACAGAAGTGGCCTCCTCCATTTGGTGAGAGCGAAATACGCATAGACCAGCCCACCACCCTCGTGGACATGCACGGACGCATCTTGGCTTGGATACTTCCAAGAGTGTTGATACCAGACCGCCAGGTGAGTGGCTTGCCCAGCCTTGCACTGTGATCTGACAAATTTGTCAGACGAAGATGCTCCAAGCGACCAGGGCCCTACACCCAGCAATAGCAGCCAGTAAGCCTTTCAGCACCACCGCCAGTTGGCGACACAACCCGTTGTACTTCTTGCCTCCTGAGGAGTGTGCCCAATTTCCAGCGGGCTCCTTGTGTCTCTCGCCAGGTTGGTTCCAACAAGTAAGAGAGGTGGGTCTCCTCGCCATGCCATTTGCCTTGCATCTGGACAGCCTTTGCAGCATATGGAGTCTGGGAGGCTGGAGACCTCCGCCAGCCTGAAGCTTAAGGGTGGAAGAAGTTGGCTGCGTGATATTCATGACTCCTCCGCATTGCTGGGCGCCATCCTGGCCGTCGTTCACCCAACGCTATATGCCGCAGGACGCCAGTGCTTGGGTTTGATCCAGCAAGACCCAGAATTGCGAGAGATGGCGCTGAACTGGTCGTCGCCATTCAATGCGCTCCAGGTGATCGCCAACTGGGAAACTCCTTTCCACTGAGATAGCAAGACAAGATACACGTTCTACGACCTGTTGGTGACGTTGGGCAACTACACTTGCGCGTGGTTGAACTTCCCCGCTGTGCATGTCGCCATCGATTATAGTCCTGGAACTGTCGTAGCCTTTTGTGGAAAGGCGATTCCTCATGGCGTCACTCGAGCAGATGGCGAAAGGCTCGTCTATGCATACTTCATGCAAGAGGGTGTCCAGAACAGGCTAGGCATTCCAGCGCCCCACTGGATGTAAGCTTCATATTACGCCTCACACATTGGCATGTGCACAGTTCATCACTGAGTCTGCATTCCTAACTCAGAACAGGTCCTAACTGGCTCGCTTATTAGAGGGACATCATGCCAAAGACTGATGGAGACGAGAACACTATGCAGGGGATGGAGACTGTCGATGGCAGCTTCGTTGGCGGGACAAAGTTGGCGGAGGTGATGGCGAAATGTATGGAGTCACAAATTTCTGAATCCTAGCTGAAGGTTGGCGAGCGCGCAGTACGAGTGCGCGTTTCACATCTCGACAGTGTTCAGCTCAAGGTGTAGCCCCGCCTGAGCCCAGAAACTGTGCGGAATGCAAGGTTGGCGAGGGACGGTGGCGATGCCTGGACTGTATGGGCAGACCGCTCACCTGTACTGACTGCTGTCGTAATGGCCATCAGCGTGCTCCTTTCCATCGGATAGAACATTGGCAGGGTCAGTATTTTGAGCCGGCATCACTGTATCGGGTTGGCGTCTGCATCCATTCGGGGCATGGCAGAGATCCCTGCCCTCTGGGCGCCTTCACAGCACATAACAACCCTGCACCGGTGGTGGCCCCGGGGTCCGATTTCTGGAATGCCTCCAATGAAGACCTAAATGCACATGATGGCGAGGTCTCAGATGATGGTGAGGTCCCATTCAACTTTGCACCTCTGGCAGGCACCCTTGACGGTGAAGCAAGGCAAACCGACGATGCTCCTGATCCCACTTGGGAGGAAGATGTGCCACCGGTGCTCTCCCGGCCACCTCGCCGTAATAGTTACGGGAATCAGATCATAGTCATTGTCGACATCTCTGGCATTCACCATATCGGCGTTGACTGTGTGAGATGGCAGTGGAGCGTGACATGCAGCTTCTTCAAATGGGACTTTACCCTGGTACCGTCAAGGATCCCCATACCGCCTTCACATTCGCCGTCCTCGACGATTTCCTTCTGGAGAACAAAGAGTGCAAGACAGTGGCATTGAACTACTACAGCAAGCTCAAATGGGTCACGAGCAATGCCTTCCCTGGCACCGTTCCCATAAGTGTTCACATGCATTCCCATGGCCCAACCATTCATGCCAGTTCCTCGCCAGGACCGTTATCGTGAGCTGATGCGAGTGTCCCACCAATGGCGCCAATTCAAATATCGCAAGTGGCACAGCTTCTCACACGATGCCCTCTGTCCTGTGGAGAAGGGTGGCCTCGCCATCTTTTGTCCCGCCTGTCCCCAGCCTGGGCTCAACCTGCCTTTCGATTGGCAAGCGAATCCAGTGCAGTGGAAGTTCAAACGCAGCTTTGTCATGGATGGCAATTTCAGTGCAGAGCACATGAAGATGAAGCACCCCGAGGAGGACGTCGCCCTCAGTGACGGCCAGGCATTCATGGTCAGCCAAGAGGATTACAAGGCTCATCTGGCGGTGGCCATGGAGTCGCATCAGGTGTGTGTCTGGCTGCACGTTCTTCTTCCGCCCTTGACTCCTAAGCCCACCAGCACTCCACTTGTCACGAGCACCGCGCTGTCAATCAGGCCAATGTGGATCGCGCCAACCTCGATGCCACAGGAATCAGGGCCACTGCTTGCGCCAGACATGGTTTCTTCGTCCCTCATACTGTCGTCGATTTCCAGAAGGGAGAAAGGTTCGCATATGTCTCTTGTCATGATTCATTCTCATCGACGCACCCTCTGCAGACAAATGAATATGGATTACTCTCTCAGCAATGCGCTCCTGACCCTCACTGGTATCACCCTCGTCCTTGTCATGTACGACATCATGTGCCAGTATGGCGTCCATGTCCGCAAACGTTTCTGCCACAGCGCCTATCTGAGGATGCCCTTCGAGCTCAAGGTAGACCAAGGCATCAGCTTGTTTCATGTGCATGGACACCAAGATTGCTGCTTCCAACGGTTCTCGCCCAACTTTATAGTTGGCGCTGGTATGGTCGATGGCAAGGTCATCGAGATCCTGTGGGCACCGACAAATGAGGTCTCAGGCAGTACCAGGGGCATGACCTGAGCTCACCGCCAAGAAGTCCTTGATGATCACATGAATGACTCCAACTGGAAGAAGACGACTCGCATGGGTGAGCCTGGTTCCTCCTTCCCTATTTGCCACCTGGCTTATGCTGCCTATAGTGCCAACCTTGATGACAAAGTGGAAATGCGTGCTCCTGGGCTTCCCACAAAGTAAGGAGTCCTTTGAAGCTTTATCTGCATCCACAGATGAGGATGTCCTTGAGGCATGGCAGAAGGAGTACGATGACGCTATGGAGGCTCGTCAAAATGATCCAAAGATCATGGACACCTTCAATGTCCAGCTCATGAAGGGTGAGTATCCTTCCATCGTCGTGTGGCATGTAGTTGACGTGAATGCAAGCCCCGGGTAAAGACCTCACCCAACTCAGACTGGCGGGCGAGGAGTCCGCCAAGGGCTTGGAGAAGGGCACCGCCAGATGGTTGTCGACTGGCCTCAAAATTCAAGAAGCACAGTGAGTTTGCCTCGTCTTTACAAAAATAGAGCTCTGACGGCCTTCAGGCTTAAGCTTGCGAATGATATCCGCAAGGCGGGTCAAAATCCGAGCGTGGCGGAGGACCTCAAGACTCTCGAGCGCCGTCAGCGCCTCGAAGTCAGCATTCTCACATTCCAACGTCGCTCTGAGAAGTTCATGGGAAGGTTGGAGGACGTTCCCGCCATGGAAGATCGTGATGATGGTGCACTCTGGGATTCCTTGGATGAGAATCCTTTTCAAATACACCCGGAGGACGCTGAGTATGGCGAGGATGCGATTCCACCCGAGCAAGCTTCCTTGAATTTACCTTCGCAGATCGGATTCGTGGCTGCCGTCGCCAACGGGCTCCAGACCCTGGCGGCCCAAGAGTTGGAGTTGCGCAAAGGCCTGATGAATGACATCCTCCACGAGCTTCGCATGGCGCTTGGACTGAAGTCTTACCTCTACTGCAAGAGGGTTCGTCCTGCCAACAGCGTCGGAACCATGACCCGTGCACAGGCGGAGGTTCATGCTGCTGATCAGACCGTCTTGGCCTGCGCCAGGCTCTATTCTGCCAACCGATGCGCCATTATGCGCTTGGGCGCCACTGATGAAGACTTGGCCCTCTATCGCCCTTTGGATAAGAAGGACCTGCACGTGAAGACTGCCGTCATCAAGGCTAGCACCTCCGGGCTCAGGAACGTCAACCTGGCTTGGTTCTGGACCATGGATGTCGCTGGAGATCGAGGTTCATCAGAATGAATGGACGAGTGTTCGTAATTGTCTGATCGATCTCTAGGCCTCCTGCTAATTTACCCTCCAGTCTATAGAGTGAATTGGCTGCGTGCCAGAGCTCGATATGAGAGATGGAGGGAGGAGCGTGTCTTGGTCCACTCGGAAATGGCCTGGACCATAGCCACCTTCAAGCGGAATGCGGAACGATGGGCTCACTGGCTCGAGATGACGGATCCTTCCTGGCGGGGTCATGTTTGCTATGCCGCCAGGCAAGTGAGTATGTGGCGGACCTTCGCCAGCCACGCCACTGACGCCTTCAGCCACATCCTCACCCTGGACATTGAGGACGAAAGGGCGGGCAATGAAAATGTGCTTTGAGTCAGGGTTCACTGGGGTGTACACATATTCATATTTGCTATATCGATGTAGTGATCATCATGTATGTAATTCCTACTCACCAATATCACATTTGGCGAAGTGACCTCCATCCTCGCCTGAGGGCTTCATCTCGGCATGTGCTCTCCAATCGCATGACATCAGGCATCAGATAAGGTCGATCAGATATCAACCTCGGATCATCCACTCACCGTCATGTCTGCCCAGTCTTCAACATCAGATGCGTGCCCCTGCCTGTTCTCCAGAGGGAGGTTGCAGTTGGAAGTCTACACTTGGAGGATCCAAGAAGCTGTTCTGGCACTGGAGCCTGACCCAGATCACTTCACCAAGGTCCGTTGGGAGGAAGGCTTGCACCGGGAGATGGTACACCTTTCTTGCTGATATCCCCTGACCCTGCTGAGTCCTGTGCAGTTCGCCATCAGGGGTATCTGTGGTGACCTCGCATTGGCAGGTCATGCTGACCATATTGACCATGGCGGAGTTATTGCCAGTGTCCTCAGCATCTGCACTTTCAATCGCGAAGTTCTGCACCCCATCAGCATTGACATCAAGGCAATTCCATGCCCCACCACCCTTGTTTCTCATCCTAAGAATCTACTCGAGGATTCACCCGACTACTGGTGGAAATGGGATCATCAGGTTGGGCCGGCGGGGAGCCCTATGGAGGCCTGGTGGTACAAACTTGGTGATCCCTGGGTGAGTGGTACGTTCCAGCACCTTACAGTCTTGCTGAACCTCAAGAACTTAGGAGAAGGTGTACACCATCTCCGAGTCTACACTGGTGCAGCTTGAACAGCTGCATGTTCGCATCACGAACCTCACTAGTTGGTTGCATGAGAGGACAGATCAGAACCTGGATGTGGTGCTGGAAGAGCTGCAGGAGGCGACGCGGCAGCTGCATGAGTTAGGAATGTAATCGCCCAATGCCAGGTGTCCGTTCGTGCTGTAGTGTGTCGAATATAAGGTTGTCATGTCTTTGAACCTGGGCAATGTACCTGGTGTGGTAAGGCGAAACATAGTAGCCACATAATCTCCTCAGGAGAGCACATCCCCAATGGTATCTGATGCATGGCTCGAAAGCCAATGCCACATGGGAGAGTTTGGCAAAGTCATTCTGGACTGCATGTTCAGATGGCGAGTGATATCCGCCACAGTTCACCAACCCTACTCACAGTGGAAAGGACTGCCATTCATCTCCACATACTCTACCCAGAAGGGCACATCCCCAATTATATCTGATGCATGTCTCGAAATGCCGATGCCAATTGGGAGAGTTTGGCGAAGTCATTCTGAACTCCATGTTCAGATGGCGAAGGATATTCGCCACAGTTCACCAACCCTTCCCACAGTGGGAGAGAGTGTGATACTGCAAGGAGAGCTGATAGCGAGCTAACCAGAATGGGAGGGAATGATGGGTGGATTACGTGAAAATTATTGGCCGGCGGTAGCTCCATCATTGCCCTGTTAGACGGTGGATCAATCACTGAAAAATATGCCCATGGCAGTGGACTGATCGCTGAGAACTACACCTATGACGGTGGGCCGATAGGTCTGAGCAAGAGGTGCCACATGAGCAACGACTCGGCATCAGAGCCCCCTTCTTCTGTGGTGTCCTTCGGCTCGTACGCTGATTTGCACACGTCCGCATCCTCATCTACTTCGTGCTCTTCGGTTGACTTCAGGTACAATCCGTTCACTTCGTATGGTCTACTTCTTGGCTCGGGCAACCAGGCGTGGCATCTGCTCATGCTTCCCCCTGACCAATCTCCACGTTTCATACATCCGCCCATGCTTCCCCCCGACCAATCTCCATGTTTCATACATCCACCTATGCTACTCCCTGATGAATCATCCGGTATGTTCCTTCACCCTCCCTGACGAATCATCCGGTATGTTCCTTCACCCACCCATGCTTCACCAAGACGACATGGACACGATACGAGCCCAGTTGACAACCTAGGGCAAGGCAAATAACTCAGCTATGCCCGGGCTAGTCAGATACTTCAGGCGACCCATGCCTATGGGCTCAGAAATATACCTATGGCGGTGGGCCGATGGCTGTATAATAGCCCCGTGGTGGTGGGCCGATCACTCAGAACACTACCTATGGAGGTCGGCCCATCGCTCAGAACCCTACCTATGGGGTTGTGCCGATGGCTGTATAATAGCACCGTGGCAGTGGGCTGATCGCTCAGAAATATACCTATGGCGGTGGGCCCATCGCTCAGAACACTACCTATGGCAGTGGGCCGATCGCTCAGAACACTACCTATGGTGGTGGGCCGATCACTCAGAACACTACCTATGGCAGTGGGCCGATGGCTGTATAATAGCCCCAGTGGCGGTGGGCCGATCGCTCAGAACACTGCCTATGGTGGTCGGCCCATCGCTCAGTACTACCACAGTGGCGGTGGGCCGATGGCTGTATAATAGCACCGTGGCGATGGGCCGATCGCTCAGAACACTACCTATGGCGGTGGGCCGATGGCTGTATAATAGCCCCGTGGTGGTGGGCCGATCACTCAGAACACTACCTATGGCGGTGGGCCGATGGCGGTGGGCTGATCGCTCAAAAATACACCTATGGCGGTGGGCCGATCGCTCAGAACACTACCTATGGCGGTGGGCCAATGGCTGTATAATAGCCCCGTGGTGGTGGGCCGATCGCTCAGAACACTACCTATGGCGGTGGGCCAATGGCTGTATAATAGCCCCGTGGCAGTGGGCCAATCACTCAGAAATATACCTATGGCGGTGGGCCGATGGCTGTATAATAGCCCCGTGGCAGTGGGCTGATCGCTCAAAAATACACCTATGGCAGTGGGCCCATCGCTCAGAACTATCACCACGGCGGTGGGCCCATGCCTGTATAATAGTAGCATCATGGTGGTGGGCCGATCGCTCAGAAATACTCCTATGGCGGTGGGCCCATCGCTCCAGCATTCCCTTCATCACCATGAGCCGATCGCTGACAGCTCCTTACACAGACCGATGGGCCAACATCCGCTGACTGTCCAGTTCATGACAATGTCAGGGTAAATGGGAGTCCAGTTCACAAACATGACTGAATGGGCTGTTCCCCTTGGTTGTAGTCAGCGGAGGGATTTTGGTGCGTGCGGATGCGCCTGTGATGCGGAGGATGCGCGCTCATTTGTGCATACGGATGGTGTCGAGCTGGGTGAGCTTGTCTTTCCAGTCCTTGAACGAGGCTATGGTCTTGACCTCGTCTTCATTGCAGGTGAACTGAAGGTCCTCGCAGATGTTGGCAGAGATCTGGGCACAGAGGCGGGCATCATCAAGATGAGAGGTTGTACCGCGGAGAGTGATGTTCAGCTTCTCGATGCTGAGAACCCAATCTTCGAAACTCTCATCTTCCTTCTGATGAGCGCGGAGTAGTTGCATCGGAATGGCTGCATCCCAGCCTTTGGGGAGGAAGCGAGAACAGAAAGCAGCAAGGAAATCTTTCCACATCATCGCGTCGAATGTGTCGAAGTCATTGTAATACCAGTCACTAATGATAGCGTCCTGGAAGCTGCCCGTAACCTTGGCCACCTTCTTATCATTGGTGACATCGTTGTGTTTGAAATACTGGAGGCAGGCGTTCTCCCACGCATGAGCAACAGCAGGAGTGATCTTGTCAGCAGTTAGGATGGGGGGGTGCTTGGCCGAGGATTGTATGATCGTGGCAAGTCCCGGCGCGGAAGTAGACGTGACTGTGGTCGCGGAAGTATCTGAATCTGAATTCGTCGATGGTGATCTCGAGCGTTGCATTACCGCGGGAGATGTAGGTCGGGTAGATAATAGCGAAAGGTCCGAGAGATCAGCAGTCAAGAGGGACGAGAGAGATGAGATTGGTCGTGATTCCAGGTTCAGAATCTCTGGGATATTCTCGACATCGTGGAACAGGGGAAGATTAGCGAGATGACAAATTTGAGAGTGAGTGTTGGGCGACAGGATGGGCAAGACGGTGGTGGTGTAGGCTCAACAGCGGTCTATGTCACGGGCGTCTACAGGATGGTTCCGTTGGGGCAGCAGTGTTTTAGTGGTGGGGCAATGCTTCTGCGGCCGTCTTGGCATGCAGATTGATCCGACGGTAGGGTAGCCTATTAGGCTCGGAGGTGCGCTCGCAAAGAGACGTGCGATGTGGAAGGACAGTTCATTTGGTGTTTTAAAAAAAGTGTGAGCCGGTTGTCTTCTGGCGAGCACTCAGAACAAAACAGAAATGAGATGTCTTCATTGCAATGTACAGAACGGGTCTCATAAGTACATGAGAGCCAAATGAGTGAGTATGGAACATACCTTCATTGCAATGTACAGAATGGGTCTGAGTTGTAATGAAGGGGCAGCGCGGATATGAACCTTCGTCGGGGATAGCCGTGTAACTCTACGTCGGGGTTACAGCCAGGCATATGAGATGAATCTTATGTGAGATATCCTACTAATCTATGACATTGATACTCTGAAGTAAATAGTGGGACATCTTATATACCTCTGACACCTAGTACATATCCTAGTACTATAAGATGTCCTATGTGATAATTGTGCCATTGGACCAGCCTATATCCTCTCTATATTCTGAATAATCTCATATAATGCTCTTGAACATATATTAGTACTATGGTCAGTCATCTGAGAAGCTCTTAGCTACAATCCACTACAAATTATGTTGAAGCTAAGAGCTAGGTCTGAAAGGTACTCCAAAGTGACTGGAAACATCCTTTGTCTTATGTCTAACTTAGTCACCACTTTTGTGATGAGCAGAATTTGTATAAGTCCTTTCAGCAAAATCTACTATGTCTGTTATATATGAGCAAAAATTGTTGAGCTGATATGGTGTAGTGGTTAAAGTGTGTGAAGTTTTTTAGTCATGTGACTTTTACCTGAGATTGAGAGTTCAATTCTGGCTAGGTGCAAGTTGTTAAATTAGTTTTGGCTTTGGATAATCCTTTGGATGATCTTTGCATTATCCTTTAGATTATCCCTTTGAATTATCTTCAGATTAGCTTAGGATAATCCTCATGTTTGAGAGCAGTATATTATCCTTGTACATGACCTGCTTATTAAACCTGGATTTCAGTAACTTATGAGCACTAAAGATTATCTCTCATAACTGACATCACTGCCTGTTTGTACTTAATAATTTCCGATAAATAATTAGAGATCTCCCTTGAGGAGCCAATTACCTTGCCTACCGAAATTGCAATAGTAGTACTCAATATTTTATTAAGTACTGCCGCAGGCTGAACCTGACCTGAAAGAGCAGATTGGATAGGGAGATATTTCCGCAGCTTCTCCGATTTATCAGGCTCTGCCTCCTTATTAGCTGGAGTTTTTGTAGTAACTGATAATGACTTATAAGACTTCTTCAGCTTCTCCAGGGTATCATCTTCCATAATAACATCTTTCAGCAGCACTTTGAATCACTTTGAGATACTCATAGAATTTACAGTATCTATAAGATGTTCTGAGAAATAATCTGTTGCATTTATAAGGCTATTATAAAATTTCACTCTTTACTTTATATGATAGTTTGCATCATAACATATTTTGCTTCTGCTATTTAGCTATTATATTCTTTTTAACTCTTTGAGTTTATAAGTGAGGCTATTTGCACTTGTATCATTTTGTGAAAGATGAGATTATAATGTGATTGAATTGTAAAGTATGTACTAAAGATGTAATTACATCAGAAAAAACACCTTTGGCAACAGATTACCCTAACAGCATCATAAAGCACTTAAAGCACTTAAAGTATTCAAAGTACTCAGAGTGCTCTCAAAAAAAGGTCTTTAAGGCAAATTTTTTCAGGCATTCCCAGAGTGCTTTCAGAGTGCAACTAGAATACTCCTAGAAAGCACTTAGAATTCCCTGAGGTTGTCCTTACATTCTTTCAGATCATCCTTAAGGAACTCTCAAGTATAAATATTAGATAAATAAATAAATAACCATTATACTATCTAGATTAGCAGTGAGTATCAAGGATCATCTGAGTTTAAAAGGTAATTCTTCAACTTATCATCAGCCAGGATTGAACCCTCAACCTTAAAGGTAAGTATAGTATAAGCATACTTTGCATTATGTTTAACTGAGTTACTCTCTTGTAATAGGCAGAATTTGCCCAAGTCCCTTCCACAAAATCTCATATATATATTATATATAAGTATAAACTTCTAAACACATATAGTTTAGTGGCTAAAGTGTGTAGTGTTATTAGATCATGTGACTTACCTTTAAGGTTGAGGGTTCAATCCTGGCTGATGACAAGTTAGAAAATTACCTTTCAAACTCATATGATCCTTGATACTCACTGCTAATCTAGATAGTATAATGGTAATTTATTTATTTATCTAATATTTATACTTGAGAGTTCCTTAAGGATGATCTGAAAGAATGTAAGGACAACCTCAGGGAATTCTAAGTGCTTTCTAGGAGTATTCTAGTTGCACTCTGAGAGCACTCTGGGAATGCCTGAGAAAATTTGCCTAATGCCTAAAACACTTTTTTTTGAGAGCACTTTGAGTGCTTTGAGTGCTGTAGGATGCTCTAGGATGCTCTTAGAGCAACCTGTCACCAAAGGTGTTTTTCCTGATGTCATGATATCTTGTTCCTGCTTAGCTCATATCCTGATGTGGTCGAAGTAGTGTTGCAGATCTATGAGCCAAGCAAGGTTATAACATTCGTGTTCTGCCTTAAAATGTTGAGAAGGCTCAGACATGAATGTAGATGTACTCTTGCACATAAGACATTCTGAGCTGCTACAACTATTGAGCACCACACCCCTGGAGCCGATACAGAAGAACTGATATAAGTAGACATAGAATACAGTCATGTCTGATGCTATTCATTCACAGTTGACTGAGCATAAACAACAATTTGGCCCTCTCACACTCATCACAAGACATTTGCAGAACTATGTGTTTACATTTACATTCTTCCAATCCTCTGCCACAACATCAGAACAGCCTACATTTTTTCAGGCTTTCATCAGCCAGTCTGCACCCTCAGTCTACTTAAAAAATATGTCCACCACCAGCAGGCCAGCAAATATGATATTCACTCCTCTCTGCACATTTCCTCAGTGCTCTAAGCATGACTGGGTCCAGTACTTCCTGATTAGCCAGATTTTCAAGCTTCTGGATGTCATTTCAGCTAAGGATTGTGGCAATGCATACTGCACATTCACTTTGCTGTTTCTGCTGAGAAAGCTGCTTATAGAGCCACATTCTCTCTGTATCTTTCAGTCTACCATAGAGGTATACACTGCAATCATCCTACAAGGACATCTTGGGATCTTAATTTCACTCTGAGAATAAGAAGTACTTCTCACAGAGTGGCTTGAGTTCAGCCATCTCCTCTGTGGTAAGAGGCATGGGAGGTGACTGTGGCAATGTTCTGTTTGATGGCAGGATGCACTTGAGGAGTCGCTTCAAAAATGCAATTTCTGAGTAGGTTGTGCAAGAGGGCAGATCACCATCTTTAAGATTGTTGAACCAGTTGAAGATGTCAATAACTTCATGAGTCCCCTCAATATTAGGCACTATGCTATATCCTGCAAACAACTCACCCCTTGATGAGTCAAAGCTGCCAGATGAAGAGCTCAGAGAGATAAGGTTCTGTCCATGCAGTATCTGATAAATATTTGTAAATACATAAGGCTCCCCAGTCGATTCAGCTGCTATAAGAACTGCTCACCTGGGCCTCCTCCAATGTCCTCAGTCATTATATGGAATGATAAAAATGATCTTGCACTTGAAATTCTCAAATATAGCTTTAAATTCTCCTGCAGAAAAGATGTCCTGCCCCTCTGATGAGAGCTTATATGAACCTCATGGCTGAGCAACCTATCAGAGCAACCACAAGCATGTCCTTATAACTGAGCTCTCTCACAGTCTGTACTAACACATCCTAAAAGAGCCTTACAATGCCACCAGGAGATGAATTGAACAAGGCAGTTTCAAATGGGCCTGACTTTGTCAGATTGTCACCAACAGCATTATTGGCCTGCTTGGAAGAGCTGTTAGCTCAGATGGAGCATGGACAATACCACCTAAATGTTTCTGAGTTGCAAGGAAGCAATGCATGGAGAGCAGCAAACTCAACTGCCATCCAATGATTATTCTTTATATCAGTCAAAGCAAGCAACACTTGAATATGCTGATGTTTGTACTTATTGGTCAACTGACCTTCACCGGTCAACTGGTCCTCACCGGTCAACTGGTCATCCTGGCTGGTCAGCTTGTCCACCTGCAATAATAATGATAGTTAGTGATCTGTAAAGCATAAATATATGTGGAGAATATTGAATGTAAGTTGAAACAGTCTTTAAATACTTAAGGAATAGGAGCTGACCTCAGGCTGATCATAAATCAGAGACAGCATGCTAGAAATTGTGCTCTAAAGAAATAATAGAAAGACTTTAATCATGATAACAGTGTGTAAACAATGCAAAGAGTGGCTTGTTAAACAGGACAAGAGCTGCCTGCACTTCACTCTGGTGAACATGCATCAGGAAAAATGCAATTGTAGGTAGCACTGCCTCTTATTTTCCTAGTTATCCTAGGCTTGGACAGTCACAGGTAGTTTTCAGTAGCTGCTAGATAGTCCTTGGTAGCAGTGATGGGCTTCGCTGTAGTACTAGGTTATGTCGAAGAGGCTGTATAATTACAGATACAGTGATTATGATGTGTTCTTATATTGCATAGACAGTTAAATTATAAAAGAGTGTGATTGACCTTTCCTACTGATAGAGAAGTTCATTTGCATGCAACTTG